TGCTGGAAATTTAATTTTTTAAAATTTTTCTACTGGTGTTGGGTCTCTAAAAGTTGGCCTTCAGACTAAAAAATGGTGTTTTGTGCTTTTTATCTTGAAGATCTAGTTGTACAAAGCTGAGCCTGGCAGATAAAATTTAGAAAACTAAATTTGCTACACATTCTGTTCCAAACTCAAACTTGAGAAGTACTTTGTTCGTGGTGGGAAACTGAAAATTAGCTTTAAAAAAGTGGTTTTTCCGAATTTTCACTGTGAAGGAGATGTTTTCCAAACTTGAGCCTAGAAGATGAAATTTAGAAAATTAAATTTCCTCAACTCTATCTGTTAGGCTCAGCTTTGTACAACTTGAGCTTCGCGGTGCAAAATGATAACTACTGTTCTCCTCATTTAGAACAAGGTGATTTCTCACTAGTTGCATCTAGCTGGAAATCGCCTTACACTAGACGCATCCCTCGATTTTAACGATAGGATGGAATGGAATTGACTTAAATCGGTGTTCAAGCAGATGGATAGATCGATATATCCCACGATGCATCGCCCAATACATTGCACGATGTATCGGCAGCTTTATCGGGCGATTTTCACGCGTGTCTAGACGTCAGATTGTCTAACTGCTGTCATTTGACCCCGTTAAGCTCACGAAAAAACGACCTTTTATGATACAGCGATAGTCAGAACTTATTTATATATACAGATAGTGAAAAGAACGAGAACCTAGTAGAAAAGGAAGGAAAGAATCGTTCATGAAGATGACGTAATGATGATGCAAGACCAGAGAACAGAATTCATAGATTCATCGACGAGAAGAAAGGACAGAAGTAAGAACATGTTTATAACAATAGTATGAAAACACGTTAGAGATGTCAGAACTAGACTCCCTGCTACTATCTAGACTATTGCCCGAAACTAAAAGATGTCTTCAGGCCACCTGTAGGCTGATTCCTACTCAACCCACATATATGTGGTTCCCGTCCCCAAAGGGTTAATAACAATGTCAAGATATTGATGTACTTATAAGTCTGACAGTAGCATCAAATTGTTCGGTCGTTGATGTCATGGAGAATTTCTGCTTGCGACAAACTCGAAATTTGCGCACTTTTTCATTCCCCTTAGAGCTATTATACAAAGAATCCATGTACTTAATCACATATAAGTTATGTGAGTTTTAGGATCCTTAGGGTTGTAAGATTCTTAGGGTTGTAAGATTCTAGGTATTCTAGGATTCTGGTTGTTGTCATCATTCTTCTATTTCCACATCATTTTTTAAAGATGTTTAGATGGTTGTCTTGTCAGGATTTGATGAACGTTCTTGTAAAATTATAAGGATTCAACTGATTTAAGATGGAGTTTCTTCATTTATGAGAATAAGATATCATAAATGATAACTTCAATTTGTATTTTATACTACGTAGTTGGATACGATTAAGAGAACTTTTTCTGATAAGTGACTTAAATCCATAATGAATATTCTGCAGGGTTTTGCATTGTTCTATTAATGTTTTTCGCAGATACTTGAATATTGGTACCGCATATTTTCTTCAAATTGTAGTCGTTTCGAATCTTCATTGAAATCTTCCACAGTGACGTGTCATTGGAAGCGTATAAATATAGTATATTGGTTTTCTAGGCGTGTCATGCACCATATCTTCATTATTTAAATTTTAGTAAAGCTAGAATTCAAAAAACATTATACATTAAGGGTCTAAGCGTGTAAGTATGCCTTACATCAATGAAAGATCAGATAAAAAACGTTTTGTGCATGTAAAATTTCTTGATTTCAGTCGTGCGTTCTATTCCTTTTGGCAGTATAATAAACTCATTAAATAATAAATTTTCTTTATAGTTAAAATCAGCCTAAATCGAGGAATTAGCGAAACACGAAAAAAACAGTCAGCATTGCTTAACGTATCCATGCTTTGTCAGATCCTTCGATGATATTTTGCTGCTGTCAAGCTAATATTAGTAAAAGGAAAAAATCAATACCACAGAGAATTTAAAGCTAGTCTCGTTATTAAATAGGATAAGATTTTATCCCTTCCCAGCATTTCTTAAATCTGTACATTACTATATGATACATATGGTGTAAGTAGTGAATATGTGTGTAGATAGCTTGGGTGGTAAGTACTTTGTAAGTATGACTATAGTCTGCTATGAGATGAACTACTGTAGATCAGATCTCATAAGCATACATTGTCTTTTAGTTTAAAGTATCACGTCTTATCAAATTTGAATAAGTTTTGACTAGGTTCAACCAGTCATTGACTCCAACAACTTGTTAAACACAATCATAAAACTTCCATCGGATTTTAACCACACTTTCGAAAATCAAAGACTTCTGATCATCAATCTTGTTGGATCCAACAATATTTAGTAAAATCAAATTCTAATGTCATACGCTTCCCAAGGGTGCATTTAGTATAATGACAAGACGAAGTTATTATCAGCATAAAAGATGATTACGATTTGGCTTTTGTCGATTACATAAGATTTTAAATGTTTTTTGCCTTTATTTGTTTACTGTAATACTAAAGAAAAAGTAAAAATCAGTAAAATTAACGATGTCAACACAGTTACCGACTTCATTTTTTATTAAACTATTCGATCTCTATAAACGTCAAAATTTGTTTCATAATTTAGAAGTGTTAATTTAATATATCGCTTGTTATTGACCATTTCTGATCGTTTATATTCGTATATATTATAACAAGATAATAAAATTTCATCTTCATTATAATCTGACATACTTGAATCGATCTCAATACAAAATGTATTCCACTCGGGTGTTATATCAATATGAAATATTGTATTAGCTAAAAATGGTTTTGTTTTTGATGTGGATGTAAAACTTGGTATGAAAAATTTATATTGTCGTTCGTACATTTCAATTTCTTTAAATGACATATTCGTCCCTATATAAAAACAAATACAAGTGAAATAGGAAACAAAGTAACGCAAATTTCTAAGTCGAGAGAACGAAACAAGGCACTTACAACAAGCACGTTACATACACGTAATATAGCAGAAAAATCTACAATTTTACCCGTGTATTGTAACAGTTCTATCTTTTCTTGATCTAACTAAAAATGATATAACTGAATTTTACGTACCTCGGTAAACATATCCTGTCTAGGTCATTGGAGTAATTCCAATTGAGTATTTTAGATGTCGAATAAACCGCCTATGATCTTTTAATGTTGAAGAATCAGTAGCCAAACTAAAGTTGACTGTTGAACAATACCATTTTTACCTGATGTATACTTTTTAATAATTTCTTTAGTGTTATATGGTTTTTCATGGTTGTGTAATAAACCAACACAATATTTCAAATAATTTGGGCCTTTTTTTATTACTGGATAGAAATTAGCATAAGGTTCAACTTGGTTGGTTGTTGAATACGGTTTATAATTCGGTACGTACGAATTGCTTGGTAAACCATGATTAGAATACGATGAGGATCTTTTATGATGGTTTATCATAGTAGGTGGAATATAACATTTATGCGACGTGTGACTTTTAGGAATCTTTTTTTGAATGTCATTATGGTTAGACGAATACAGAACGGGATGTCCGAAAGTACCAGAAAGTTTCGAGTGGTTTTTTCCTGGAATTATAACCTCGGAAAACATTGGATTTAGTTTTATTGATGAATTGTGATAAGTTGTTTGAAAGTTTGAAGTTGGATGAGATATAGTTCCAGAATAGGATGATTTTCCACCGCTACTGCTGTTGCCGTATGTATTAGAATAGCTTGGAACTACAGCTGCCTGAAAACTAGGATTCGAAACATACGAAGCTCCAGCTGAAAATCCTCCACCATTTTGATCACCAGTTGGTATGGAACAACTCATTTTATAAATATTTCAACAAACTGAAACGCTTAAGAATAGTTTATTAGCGAAAATGAGAACTCTACATTAATGTGAAACTCTACTTAATTATTTAGAAATTTTACAACCGCTATTTCTGTTACTAGAGACTCAGACAGAATTCATTTCTGAAAGAATCAAAAGAAGATACCACGACCGGTTTCGACCTTTCTCAAGGGTCTCGCCAGATGGTTTCCTTCGAGAGACAGAGTTAAGGCACGACAAGCAACACAAACTCCGTCCACACCGTATGAGGGTGTTACTATTCATTGTTCTTATCGAACAAAGAACGATTCTGTCTGAGTCTCTAGTAACAGAAATAGCGGTTGTAAAATTACTAAATACAAAATGAGAACTACTTTAGAATATTTTAACATCATTATGCAAGTCTTTGAACATCAACTTTTTCTGCGTTAGACTAATTGATAGTGTTATTCTAAACACAAGATCTGTCTAAATATATACATCTTGCTAAAAGTTTGATATTTATAATTCAATGGTTTCTGTGATATTAACAAATAAATCAAGTGCTGCTGTACTTTTATTTTTTTCGGTTAAAACAATATTAATTTGTCTTTGGTCGCTAATGAAGTTACTATTACCGTATAATAGAAGAAAAATACAAAATTGCTTTGATTCAGATAATTAAATTAATCACAGTAATCATAGAAGCTGTAATACGAACTTTTATTGAAGTACAAAGCTTTGTTCAAAATATCACTTCATTTAACCTGATGTAAAAGAGTAACTTCTTAAATTGTCTCGTAACGTTAATGTTAATAAAATTTTGATTTAGTTTTAAAATTGCACAACTTTTCATGACCAAAATAAAAATGATTTTTATAAAAAGGTATTTAGAAATCACAGTTCGTTAAATATAAAAGTGAATACATGTTAGAAATAAAAACATCACAACTGAAGGCAACAGTGTGATATATGATGTGAAGAGTTATACTAATATTGACTTACATATATTCTTATATTTTTCTGTTATAAACATCTAAATACTCCATACTGCATACTTTAAAGAAGGGTTGTGTAATAACAGTTAAAAATAACTACGTGGTTCTTTCCCGTTGTTAGAAAACAGAGCGATAAATTTTATGGTGTATTAACTTTATCTTTCTCGTCCTTTCTTTCTAAATATAATTTAACGTTATACACAGAATGACTTCCTTGTTTTAGTAATGCAATACAAAAGATTTTTCGAATAAGCAGTCTTAATTAAAAAGCACTCATGTCTTTTCAGAGAAATATATTCGGATGCAATATTTGTCAAGAATGACGAACATTCCTTCTGTGCATCTAATTTCAGATATTTTTCTCTTTTCATTTGCTTGCATTCGATCTAGAATAAGAAAGTTTTATATATTTGATAACTGTACTGCAGCTGTCTGTGATGACCTCCATACCATAATTGATGATTTTTATCATATACTTTCGTCATCAAACCTCATTAGTGTTTATCTGGATGAGTAACTAGCAATGGGCAGTTATAACCCGTTGGGATCCAATATTAATCGGTTCGTTTTAATCCGTGACTATCTAGATCAACTCTGTAAAACTAATTTGGATCTAAACGACTTGAAAACGAACCCTGTTTCATCAGTTTTACAACTATTGAATATTTCCAAAAATGCAAAACGGAGTTGAGAATAAAAATTCAAA